TTCCTCGCTAAAGTCTTGGCTTTCCCTAACGCCTTTGATAGTGCTGTGGATAGTGGTCCGGTGATGGATTGCACCGAAAAGCCAGATGTGTGGGAGGTGAACTGTATTTTTAGATACCGAGTTGTAAAACTGACAGTCTTGGAAGTCCGGTCCCGACAGCTTCCTGAGGGCTGTTGCTTTCACTTTTGCTTCTTGATCCTAATCTGTGCGTGTGCCGAGGCAGGGCAGAACTGAGCCGGTGGTAACGAGAACGGGGTAGAGAGAAGTACCGTTTGCAAAGCTCTGGCTGCCTTGTTTCCAGACCCTTATGAATTTCTTACTGTAGTTCTGGGAAGCGGGTGTTTTTAAGAACTCATGGGAGTACGAATCCAGCTAGAGCACAGGTCTGGTTTCTTCAGTGAATTTTTGTTTGTGTCTGGCCAGGAGTCACATCTGAGAGTTTTGTAGAGCACCTTGTAAGAAAGTTGTTTGTATTGTCAGACTCGTTGAAGACACCACGTTAGAAACAGCTTTTACCTAAAACCTGCATCGGGCTGTAGAAGAGTACAGCTACTGGTTTGCCTTGTTACTCAGTTTGGGCCTTTTTCAAACTTGCAGGATATGCTTAGGTGTAATTCCAAATTGTCCCTTTGATTTGTGTCTGCCCCAGAACACCTATCTGGTTTTAACATTGTGCCCATTAAGTAAACATGTGCAGAAGAGTGGGAGCCTGCATTTTCTGCATTGTTTTTCTCCACTTTTTTTTTTCTTTCCTGCCTTACTGTGTTACTTGTGTACTCCTGCAGTCCTTTTTATAGAAAGAGTTTAATATCTCCTGATTTTTCCTGTGAGTCATTAGGCATAAATCTCATTGGGATATGCTTATTGTTTCACTTACTATAGCTTGATTTTCTTGTATTGCCTTGCAAGGCCAACTTGGTTGGATTCCATTAACTTAAGTACATGTTGGATCAGGGCCATCTTAATTTAAAACTATAATTGGCAGCGTTTTATGCAAGACAGTAACGCATTGGTAACACATGGAGTGGGTGGGCAAAAGATGAGGCAAGAGCAAAAAGAGCAAATTTCCACTTTGCATAACAATTCTGTTAAAAAAATAAATTGCTTTTATCAACATTTGTGATATTGTTTGGGGTTTTCCTTGGTTACTAAGTATGAACAAACTTGAACACCTGAAAAAGTTTCCTATTTTATAAGTTGCGAATTCTTTTTTAAAACAAAATATTTTTTTTTTAATCTAGTGGTTTTGAGTACCAGACAACTCACAAATGTGTGATTTCATTAAATATACTTTGTTGAAAGGCAGTGCCATTGTCCTCATGTATGAAGAACAAAATCAAATTGCTCAAAATCCAAGTATGAATTAAGAACGAGTACCTAATCTTAGGAAGATCTGAGGCCTTTCCTTCTAACTTACAAAAACAGAAGCAGTGTACAAGTTATTTTAATAAGAGAGCTGTTGAATTCTGATCATTCTTGCCTAGATTGAAGCTTCTGTTGAGGTCTAATGGACTCAAGTATCCTCTTTGGAGAAAAACTTCCTTTGCTTCTTTTGGTCTTGATAGTAACGTTTTCAGTTGTTAAAAATGTTAGGGACAGGAGAGGACTTCTAAGAAGAGTGGTTGGTCAGAGAAACTGTTTAATTAAAGGAAAAGTAGTGGCAACAAAGGTAGGAGCAAACCTACCTTATGAAGAATCTTTAAATCTTCTTAATTCTCATGGTGGAGGGTGAAGACATTTGAAATTCTGATGATAGTGTGCATATATTAATAAGTAGAAACATTGCTGTTAAGGGAATTGCAGTCATGGCATCCTTGAAGGTTGGACATCACAGATGTTCTGTGGTTTATGTTCTTATGTTTTTGATTGCATGATTGCTTTTTTTTTGTAGGCAGACTTCATAATTTTTTAATATGCACTTAAGCAGTTAGTCCTGGTGACAACCAGTACAAGCTTTTGCCCTGCAGCATGTGAATTGGATGACAATGCAGCCTTTAGTTTACTGATTCAGTTGCCTGAAGCCATGTTCAAATATAAAGTAGAAACACTAATTAGTGTGCTGAGTAGGCTTTCTTGGATCCTGGGGAAGCGAGGTACAGAGCCAGCGTTTGGGGTCGTTGGTCCCATGTATAGTCTGACTGGACCTATCTAGACCAGTTGTTGCAGTTCGTAGGCTGTGCTCCTGGTGAATTCTCACTGGAATCTTATTCCTGTGGTAAATAGGACAACCAGTTGTTGATTTTCCACTAACTACTGTGCGTATGTATCTCAAAATCCATGTGTATTTTTAGTAGGGGCTCTTTTTTTTTGGAAAGTTTGTTGTCACCTAGCCCTTAATTTTTGACATGCGGTTCCGTTGTTAGTAATTATTGAAAACCTATGGATTCCTGAAGATGAGTATGTGATCAGTGCTGCCTCTGCAGCTGCTCGAGTGCTGATCTAACACCTGTATGCAGGTCTGAAAAGGAGTCTGTAAAGTTTATGTGTTTAAGTCTTTGCATTTGCTTCAAACTCTTAGTGATTTTGTTCCTTGTAGTCCTGTAAAAGTGAAACGGTTGTCTCTTGTGTGTTTATAGATTGATTTGGATACTATTGATGTCAGCAATCTCAACAGACAGTTTTTGTTTCAAAAGAAACATGTTGGAAGATCAAAATCACAGGTGAGGAAAAAGTCAAAACTCAGGTCTTACTATTATTTTATGGACAGTATCAGAAACATGTCACTCTTTTGTCTCTGCTCTGAAGAGGTAAGTGTTGGTTGGTTGATCGTGGCTATCCGCAACATTTCATTATAAAAGTATTTGAGTATCTTAAGGTAGTCAACTTACTCAATACTCTACTGGTATTGAGTCTGTCTTTAGAAGGAAGGAAGAAATAATAAGTGGTTTTTTGTTTTTGTTTTTTTTTTGTATTTCTAGGTTGCCAAGGAAAGCGTGTTACAGTTTTATCCAGAAGCTAATATTATAGCTTACCATGATAGCATCATGAAGTATGTTTGTTTTTAAGCTCTAATTACATTTTGATTTGCAAGTACTGTGTTATTTAAATAATACAATGGTGTGCTTTAATATATTTTGAAAAGCTACTGCAGTAAGAAGAAATAGCTGTAAATATGAGATTACCACATACCTGAGCAGGAGTGTGGATTTTGCATGAGTTTTCTTAAGCTCTGGTAGTAAGCTGTCATCATTTGCTTGTATCTGTTTTTTATTAGCAACATCTACTATGTGAGTTTCTACACTGTAAGGATACCCTGATGTCTTGAGTAATTGTTAGATTAAAATAAATGTCGATGTTGAGTCCATGATTTACAAAAAAAAGTCCTCTCTTTGTGTGTAGGTAGCTGAGTATTATTTATGTATGCCCCAAACTGTTTAAGTTTAGTCTTTATGATCCATGTGCAATGAGTAGAGTACAAGATTACGCAAATTTTCTTTAGCTCTTTTCCATGTTTTACTTTATATCCACTTTCTTAAAACTTTATATTCTGTAATATCAAGGTTTCCACTCTGATGGTGCTATTAGTCACTGAAACACTGACTCGTTGCATCCTTGTCCTGCAGTTGTGAAACTGTTAATCCTGTTTCCTCTTTACTCTGTCTTCTTTGCCACTTTCTTTAGATCAGAAAAATGTAACGTAGAGATACTAAAATGCCAAGATTTTAAAGTCCCATGTCATGGCTCCGAAGAGTATAGAGGCAAGATCAAAACCAATTGAGCTATCACAGTGTAATGTGTTATCAACAGTCTGATGAGCTATGGTAATTACAGTGTGCAGGTTTTAGCCTCAGCTGATGGTTTTTAAGGTCAGTTACCACAGCTTGGCCAATTTGCTCGTAAGGTCAGAGCAGTATAATAACTTTTTCATTGTCTGCCTGCTTCATTGGTCAAATGAGTACTAATTGCAATAGGTTCCTTTCAGTGGTATAAAATTCATGCTTTCACCCAGCTTTAAAATGGGCAGAAGACAAATGAGGCAGTTAAAGGCTAGCAGTAAATTTGTGATATGTGTAATTTATCACACGAACATCAGTCTGCCTTTGCATGTGTGTGGTTTCTGTTGTGGCCTAATAACCAACAACTTCAATATGCCATTTTGAGTGTTGTTTTTCTTTCCTGTAGCCCTGACTATAACGTAGAGTTCTTCCGCCAGTTTACGTTGGTTATGAATGCTCTGGATAACAGAGGTGAAGTTTTCACTATGATTTTATATTGGAGATGAAAGTACTGTTTTTGTTCACAGAAACAGCTTTAACATGTTCTGCTCTTGGTACTTCTGCAATGTCAGTTCTATAACAAGTATCCTCTTAACCTATCTGTAGTTTGGCTAATGCTTGTGTGCTTCACTAGGAACTTGAAAGGGTAGTTAATTGCTTTTACGGGTGTTTTGAAAGTGAACATTAACTGCTGTTGCTGCTTTATGGGAACTGATGAGTGTTGTGTGTACATATGTAACTTTATTCAGTTGAGTTTGCCAAGTTTAGTAGTGTTGATAGGTTTTGTGTTAACTGGAAAATTGACTTTGTGAAAGGTGTAGTGCTTACTAATGAACAAAGGCAGATTAAGAATAAATGTTTGCATAGGAGCTAGCTTGAATTTGGAGAAGTAAAACTTCTTTTTTCTAATTATTCAATTTTTTTTAAAAAACTCTTGATTTGCAGCTGCCCGTAACCATGTGAACAGGATGTGTCTGGCTGCTGATGTTCCTCTTATAGAGAGTGGAACTGCAGGCTACCTGGGACAAGTAACGGTTATCAAAAAGGTTAGGTTGTGTGTTACTCTTGTCACTTTAAATTTAAATCATTGGCTATTTTAGACGAGGGGCAGTTGGGTGTTTTGAGATACAGTTACAGTTCTTCTGGTAATAGCATGTACTATCAGTAGCCTTCACAGTGTGACAAGTAAATATTTCACTTTTCACCAGGGAGTGACAGAATGTTATGAATGTCATCCTAAACCAACTCAGAAAACTTTTCCAGGCTGCACAATCCGAAATACACCATCAGAACCTATCCATTGCATTGTGTGGGCTAAGTATTTGTTCAAGTAAGTGATTTTGTAAAAAAAAAAAAAAAAAAAATACTGTGGTTCACTCTTCTGTTTTCTAAACTTAGAGAACTTTTTTTTGGGGGTTGTAGTTGGTTTTTTGTTTTGTTTATGGATGTGGCTTATAGTGAAAAACCTTTTTTTTTTTTTTTTGACCTGGCTTTTGGGGTGGGTTTGTTTTCTTTGCAGGGCAGGGGGTGTTCTTTCAATATAAAGCTAGAGGTTGGGTGGTGCTTGGGCCTTGCTCTAATATCACAGAAATCTGGTGGAATAGTTTGGCACGGCAGTATAGGTTGCAGTTACTTTATTCTTCACCTTTGTGTGAAGTTAATAAATGCATTAAACTGGAAAATGCACTAACATGTAAATCTTGCTGGGGTCTTGGAGGGTTGTAAGCAACTCATTCGGTTCTGCCTTGGCAATATAGGGCTAGGTGAACTACTAAGTGAGTTACAGCAGTGCTTCGCTAAATTCATTTTTGTGTTTGACACTTTGTGGTGTTAGTGTTGGGACCACGTGTGATGAGTCCCAGTAATTTAAAAAGCAGTGTATGGAGAGGCAGTCTGACAGCAAGGATTGTAGAGTGTATATATATCTTAGCAAATATTCCGGTCCTTAACCAGATATGATAAAATTCTAGCGTTATGTTGTTCTTAATTATTATATAGCCAGTTGTTTGGAGAAGAAGATGCTGATCAAGAAGTCTCTCCTGACAGAGCTGATCCTGAAGCTGCCTGTGAGTGTGATATAAGCTGGTAGCTACCCTCTTACTGAAATAATCTGTATCAGGGACTGTGACTTGTTTCTGTACATTTCTTAAGCTTAGAAAATTTGGCGTGTTTTTTTTTTTTTTTTTTTTTTTAGAGGATTCCATTTACTGTACCCTTGGTCAACAAGAGTTTGAGGTGTGTTGAGAGCAGTTTCCCTCACAGACCTTCATGTACACCATGTGTAGTTTAGTTCCCTGCTACTGCCGCTTACTAGATATTTGAAACAATTTCAGTGTTTTTTAGTTAATTTCATATGTAGTGTATACCAGGAGGTTTTGCTTTGAGAATGTGCAAAACATACTCTTTAAAATTACAACGGTTTAATAGTTTCACCTGTCAGAGCTATTGCCCTTGTGGGCAGCCTAAAACATTATTAAAATGGTTACTTCAGCTGTTGTGAAAACTTTGCAATACAAATACAGTGTACTGGCATTTACTAGTTGTTCAGAGATCTGTGAGGAACACAGTCAATATACTCACTAATCACAAAGTTCCAGTTAACACATCCGGGTGTAAGGTACATGATTTAGATGAATAGGCTTGTAACTGCTTGGAGACTCTTGTTCCCTCTGCAGCAAACAGTCTTCTGCATGTGCACGGAGACTTGAAGGGAAAAGTGAGCTTGAAGTACAAATTAAATGTAGCTGTGGCCTTTTTTTTTTTTTTTCCCTCTATTTTTTTATTTGATGGAGTGCATCCTTCCTTGCAGCTGGGAGGCTTGTGATTTGAACTGAGAATTGAGTAATGCTTGTAGTGACTCTGCATTTTCCACTCCTAGCTGCAAGGGAGCGAGAAAATGCAGGAATTATGTTTGTTTGAATTCTTCTAGCCTGAAACACTTCAGTGTTAATCTACACAAAACAGTAGTTAGTTACTGTGAAGGTGAATAAGCATCATTGTTGCCTCTTTTGGATCCTTTGTTAGATGAATGGATTTGGGAGAGGGAGCTTAGAGCATCCTCTGGCTCTTCAGAGTCTCTTATCAGATAGTGACCACCTGACAAGTTGTTCCTACAAGAAGGGCAGATTGAAACAGCTGAGTCTTAAAAAGAGTGATGTATAATAAACTCACTTAAAATAACATTTGCTGGAATATTTGGCAGGCAGCAGACACAATGCCACTTACTAAAGGTACCAGGGCAGTTACAGGAAGGCCTGAGCTGCTGTGGCCTCATGTCTGTAGTGAGCAACTGTCCATAGCAGTAATGCTGTCCAGAATTGCTGGAGATTCATGGTGTGTCAGGGAAGAGTCAATGCAACCTCTGTAAAGGGTAGTCCTGCCTTTTGCCTGGCTCTGCAGGTCCTTCCTCTGAAGGAATCTGTGAGCTTGTGGACAAGCAGGTCTGCTTTATGCTGGTTTGAGTCTGCAGGGGGCACTCAAAAACTTCTTGAGGAACCTGAAGGAGCTAAGCAGCTGTGAGGGAAAAAAGGGTGAAGACCCTGAAGTGGATAAACTAGTTAAACAATAGCAATAAATGGTGACAGGAGGAGTGTCTCAGGCTGGGGCTGGGACCAGTCCCATTCAGCATGCATGATTAAGCAAAGTCACTCAGAATAATACAGGCTAACTGCGAAAGGTAGTAGAAAGTTTCACAATACAGAATAACTGGGCAATGAGACATTATGTGGATTTGGTGCAGAAAAATATGAAATTACAGATGATGCATTGGTGAAAGGGGGGAAACATTCACAAATTTACATACAAAGTGATGTAAGTTGACTTTTCTCATTCAGTCAAGATGTTACTAGTTTTATGAGAACATCAACCTGCTGCTTATTAGAAATCACGTTAGCAGGTGCTGGATGTGACTGGGAATGACACGCAAAATGGGCAGCATCTGTATGCATGGGATTGTTCTAGAGAGGAATAACCAGAGGTACGAAACTTTGTGTGTGTGTGTTGAAGTTCTAAGCAAACCAAGACTCCTCAGCCATACAAAGTGACTACTATAAGGTGGTGTTTAGACGTTCATGAAATCACAACATTATGTTGAAAAAATGAATAGGAAACAGTTGTTCACTCTTTCTGCCAGTAAAGGAATTAGGTGACATCAAGTGAGATTAGTGAGTTGCAGTGGCAGAAGCAAACAGAAGTAGTTGCACTGTTTCAGTGCAATTCAGTGCAATTTGGTGCAGTAAATCTGTTTTATAGACCCTGCATAATTTTGACTATTGACTGTAGGGGGAATATTTATATTACTTTTTTTGTGTTAAAATGCCGGTTGACGCTTTATTAATAGGGGAGCCAGCAGAAGCAGAAGCCAGAGCTCGAGCAGCCAATGAAGATGGTGAGATTAAACGTGTTTCAACTAAGGAATGGGCTAAATCAACTGGATACGATCCAGTTAAGCTTTTTACTAAGGTATCTTCTTTACCCCAAATAAATGTCTTTATGTGAAGTGTATGAGGTGCTTTAAAGTTAAGTCAGAACCCAGTTTGGATGCTTAGTGCCAGTCATCAATGACGCAGTCGTTCTGACTTCCACCAGCTGTGCTGTACTGTTGGTCTTTTACAACACTGGCTTGTTTTCTGGCCTTCCAGCTACAGATGGCTTCAGCAGCCTGTTCATACTGTATAGAAAAAGCCTCATCCTAATTATTTTTAATGTGAAAAGGTAAATTTGAATTCTGTAGGAGTTTCACTGGGTATAATCAGAACCAACCTGAGGATCTAAAAGCTATCAGTCATATTCTGTTTACAATCAATCTCTGGCATCAGAAAAAAAGTTTAGGAGGTTTCCTTCTAAATAATTTCTTAAAGTGGGTTAATAGAAGACTTGAATATAGAGCGTAATGTTAATGGTAGTAATAACTCAAAATTCATTGGTGTTTCAGTAAGAATATCTCAGGGAGAGTATATCGAGAGCTGCACTGATGGCTTCAGTAGGCACATGAACCCACTGTTTGGACCATTGTTTCTAGGTTTTTATTTTACTCTCCCCCAAATTCATCAAAGCTGTGTCTGCTTTATGCAGTAAGTGTTAGAGGATGGAGAATAATAAGGTTTTTGAACATGGTGCTTTTTTTCTTGTGAAGTTTGATCCTTATTTATGTGATTGAAAATATTTTTAAAGAGAAAAGCAAAACCTCAGAAATCTAGTGCTGATTTTTCAATTTCATAGCAGATGTAAAACTAAAGCATATCCTTTTTTTTTTTTTACCTTTAAATTTATTTTTTTTAAATCCTTTCTAGCTTTTCAAGGATGACATTAGATACCTGCTGACAATGGATAAGCTGTGGAGGAAAAGAAAGCCTCCAGTGCCACTGGACTGGGCTGAGGTACAAAATCAAGGTAATTTTTACTCCTCCCACTGTATATTTGTGACACATATCTGTTAATACATCTCTGTGATACATATGTTCTCTCACTGTCACAGTTAACTGCTGATAATGAACACACCGATTATTGGTGATTCCCATGGATTGAAAATTTTTCTCAATAGAAAACGTTTTTTCTAAACCTGTTTTGCAATTGTTATTTTAGCTGCTTGGTATTTGCTGTAGAGAATTCATATTTCACAAAATGGCACATCAGCTTGTTCTAGGAGACCAACCTTACCATAAGCACTGGTACATTTATCTCTGAAAGCTGCATTCTGCTGAAAATTCGTTTGCTGTAATTTGCATGCCTAGGCTGTTGATGTAAGTATAGCTGTAGTTGCAGTTTTAAATGCAGATTTGTTGTAAAATGTTGGGACTACAGTAGTTTAAGGATATTGTTCTCCAGTTAAGAAAATACTTAATTTTGCTGAAATTGGAAAATTCTTAAATCTTTGAGAAAACTTTGGGATTTATAAGGATTCTTGATCTCAACTTTTTTTCTTTTCCCAAAGAGAAAAACGTATCTGACCAACAAAATGAGTCCTCCACAATTTTGAAGGATCAGCAGGTTCTTGATGTCAAGAGCTATGCACACTTGTTTTCAAAGAGTGTTGAAACCCTGAGACTTCACCTGGCTGAGAAAGGTGATGGAGCAGAGCTTATATGGGATAAGGTCAGTTTGCCAAATACACAAGAACCAGTTATACTCTCCATAAGTAGTACAAATATTAGTTGGACTCATTCAGTTTCATTTCAAAATAGTACTACTTAGAACAAAAATGTCTGGCACCTCGTTGAAAGCACTTTCCTATGTAAACAAATATGTACTTGAAACTCCCTATATTTTGTAGCCTGCCAAGTGTGAGGTTTTACTATTGTGATGTAAAATAATTTGCCAACTTTAAAAAGCACAAGTTCAGAAGTATTTGCTGTGTTTTGATTTTGAAAATATTTTCATAATAAACTTCATTTTTTCCATTTTAGTTTTCCCTAAAGCATGGTTTTATCCAATGGTTTGTAGCTAAGAGTTCTACTGGGCTGTATGTGTTAATTCACTCTGATGATAAGCATGTGATATATTACAAGTTTTGCTGAAGAGACATGAGAAAAGAATTTTCTTTTCTAGCCCCAGAGACAGTGTGATCTTCCTACACTCAGTTATAATTTGGCATGAGGAAAAAAAAATAGTTTGTGAGTATAGAGAGGACAAAACAGTAAAATAGGATTACAACAGATAGGAAAAATATTTCTTTAAAACACAAAATTTTTGAAACTGAGAATGGTAAGAGTCAGGATTTGGGCATTATTTTGAACGTACAAAGCATTAATTCTAATACACTAAGTACAATTTCTAAACATGCATTTAAAGTATTACTGCTCTGTTGAAACATGCCATCTGAAAGAGGAAGTATATTGACTTCAAAATGGAATATTGTGTAGAGTTTTTTGTAAACTTTCTAGTTTTAAGGTTTTAGGAACCATGTGTTGCAGACTTTTTCTGATGAGTAATCTGATTTTAAATTATTTTTTGTATTAACTTCTTGTCAGGATGACCCCTCTGCAATGGATTTTGTCACATCTGCTGCAAATCTCAGGATGCATGTTTTCAGTATGAATATGAAGAGCAGATTTGATATCAAGTGTAAGGATAAAATATAACTTTTTTTTTTAATAATCTAAACTTCTGATTTTCATTTACTGTTAAAAATCTGCATACTCTTGCTTATTTTTCAGCAATGGCAGGAAATATTATCCCAGCTATAGCTACTACTAATGCAGTAATAGCTGGTCTGATAGTGCTGGAGGGCTTGAAGATTTTATCAGGAAAAATAGATCAGTGTAGAACGGTAAGTGGGAATGAGATACTTTTACTTTCTTATTATTATTATTAGTTTAAAAGTGACAACCTGCTTTGGCTGTTGTGTAGTTCTACTGTCTCTCACTTGTTGCTTCAGTAGATTCTGAATGTGCTGGGAACTTGGAGCCACAATAGAAGAAGTGGAAATCTTAGGAATTGTTAAATTCCTCTGATTTAATGAAAATTGACTGATGGATAGGAGAGAGAACCAGACTGGCACCCCTTGAAACATGGTTGTTTCACACTATGGATCTGTGTGGCTGTAGCTGGTCAGTCAGCACAGGTGTCATAGCAGCCTGGC